ATCGTGGGTGGTGTGCTCCCACTGCGCGGAGCGCACTTCGGACATTCCTGTCGAAGGTTGCAATAGCATCCTTCGTCCATGGCACAATACACAAGCCATACGACAGCACTGGGATGACATAAGAGTTAATAGCACGAGAGAGGTAGCAGGCGTTGAGAGATGTGTGGGTCACCAGCCGCAATCGCCTCCTGAACTCTTTGGTGGTGGCCACCTTAACAGACTGTTCCGCCATGCCAAAACACTCCCTTATGCCAAGGTAGGCATACACGGAGCCGTCCGCCAAGGAGGCAATGCTGGAGGCTTGATCTACTGTGACAGTTGCTGGCTGATCTGGATCAACAGCACCATGTGGGCACACAAGCTTAGCACACTTTGCTGGAGAAAGCTCCATTCCAATGGATTTCCCAACGCACGATACTATGTTGATCATTGAGTTAAACTGCTTACTGGTTGCGGCCATCAGCTTCACATCATCCATGTACCATAAGTGGGATACGGTTGTTGTCCGCTGAAGTCCGCACGCATATCCAAAGCCACTTCTGCTGAGTTCACCTGATATTGGATTCAATCCAAGACAGAAGAGCAGAGGGGATAACGAGTCACCTTGGAAAATGCCTCGCCGGATCGGTATTGCCTCACTCATGTCAGCTCCCAAGCGCAGCCGGGCACGCCACTGCGATGAGAGCACAGACAAGAGTGAAGTGATCTTGGGGTGGAATTTGTACAGACGTGTGACTTCGACTAGCCACTCCTGCGATAGGCTGTCGAACGCTTTCCTAAAATCCAACCAAGCCATTGCCAAGGTGCGGTGATGACGCCTAGCATCCTGGGTAATCATAGCATTGATCAGCAGCTGGTCAGTGCAGCCTCCTCGGTTACGAGTACAGTCAGTTTGTTCATGGGCCAGAATGTCATTGGTCTGGATATGGATCCACATCAACTCACCAATCACGGAGGTGAATAGCTTGTACATGGCTGGCAGACAGGTGATTGGTCGCCAATTCTGCGGCTGGGTTAGGTCTCCTTTCTTTGGGATCATGACCGTCTGGCCCAGTGAAAACCATGCTGGGGCATCCAGCTCACCATCCAGAAGCAGCTGGAAATTTCGAAGTAGAGCTGGATGGAGAGCAGTAAATTTTTTAATCCAGAATGGCGGGATCTGGTCACAACCAGGAGCACGCCAGTGTGGCATCTTGGAGGTCGCAGCAGACATAAGGTCAGCAGTAATGACAGCAGATTCCTGGGCATGGATGGCCTCTGCGTACGTGCCTTCACGCTGGATCCAGGCCTGACGACGCACAGGGTAAGGGTGAGACCATAATGTCTCTCCAGAACTGCTCCAATTGATCCATACATGGACGGGTCTCGGGGTCACTATCCTTCTTGGCACACAGGTTACGATAGAATTGACGTTCATTGTAGCGAAATAACTGATTCTCCTGCTTTCGTTTCATATCAGCTTTGTATCTGCGCATTCGACCCGCAAGGGCCAGAAGTTCCAATTTCTTTGTTCCTAGAAGTGAAGCAGCAGCGTGCCGAGTTCCCACAGGGTAGCGCTCGTACATTTGCGGGTTGTCAGATGCCAGGTAGCTTGTCAGTCTAGAGACATCCTTCCGAAGGGCGTCAACCTTTCGCTGTAACCGGCGTTGCCAACCCGGAACCTCCGGCTGCGGCGAACTCATGCGCGCTGCCGGAACCGGCGGGATACCACAAACCAGTAGGGTGAGAACAGCAGCAGCATACGCAACATGATTCAAGAACTCTATGGACAGGTCAAACTCACTAGCAGCAACCAGCTGACGGATGCCACAGTTGATTTTCGCGACAGTAGCTGAAAGACGGAGGTATGGGATTTTCCTGGGGACTGCAAGCTTTGGCCTCTCATCAACACCCAAACGCTGTACACTGGCTACCAGCCCACCAAGGACCCTACAAGTGTCTTCCACCCCAGCAGCCTTGATACATACACAGATATGCTTGACCGCCCACACGAGCTGTTTGTCATTAGAGTCAATGATACCAGCACTACATGCATTAGCTAGGCAAGCAGATAAGCTACGATTAGTCTGTGCTCTGCAGTCTGTGCAAGGGCTCTCCGCAGTGCACGACACACCACCACATCCACCGTCCGCAGCGCCAAGTGCATCAGCATGCAAGGCAGGAACGTGTTAACACGTTGATCCAGTGACAGTTGACTCACCGTCCAAGTTAGTTGGGTGGAGGCACATGTACATCACTGACAGCACCAGCACCAGCACCAGCACCAGCACCAGCACCAGCACCAGTACTACTACTAGTGTCAGCGGCTCGAGGATCCGCCTGGGCGTCATCAGTGCGCGTAGTGCCAGTAGCGCCAGCAGCGCTGGACCCGCAGGGCTCCGGTTCTCCCTGGTGATTCGTTGCGTGGTAACGTTGTAGAAACGCGCTAGGAAGCTCCCCTCGCTCCACGAGCTGCTGAGCAATGGCTTCTTGTTCGACCAGAGAGAGATACTTTCGGCTGATAAGGGATATCTGGCCAGCAAGACTGCTCGGTTATAGCATAGTTTGGTCGCCGCTCTGTCCAATTAGCAAGCTGCCGTTTCCTGTATCCGAGCTTATCTGGCCAGATGGCTTTGAAGTGGCACTCCAGGGCTTCTCGGTTATCAATACTGCTCCATTTTCGACGAGGTGGCATACGCTTAGGACACAGACTTGGGAACTAGGAAAGACAATACGGATTACACAATGAAGAGAGAGAGAGAGAGTGAGAGAGAGAGAGAGCGAGAGAAAGGGGCTAAAATTGAAAGAATATTGAAGCGAGTTGCAAGCCCAAGGGCGGTCAGCAACCAGAGCTATTATTATTATTATTATTATTCTCGTATCCGTTCCCAAGAGGAAGTCACAACAATGGAGTGAAAAAACATGAACAAAAATAAAAACATGGTGATGTGGAGATAATAGTGATTTGAATGATTTGAAAGTCGCAAAAATATCGCCAGACAGAAAGTAAGAAAAAAGATCACATCGAAGTCGCGCGTTCAATTTATCCCCGCTCAATCTTTTGTTGAGCTATGGCCACACCGAAAACACCTCTGGAAAGTCCTTTCCAAGACCGTTCCAATGACCTACAGATCTTTGCGATGCGATAATCCGTTCTAGAGTTATCGCTGTTTGTACAGTGATCTATCAGTGCGTACGGTACGTGGCCTGTACAAAAGGTACATGTATAGCGCGAGTATACTCGTCATTATGGTCTGCATAACGAGTATACTCGTCATAAACCCGGAAAGGGGTTTAACTCAATTGCTTTCATCACACCCTGGGTGTGACGTAGGGGGATACTTTTACGTTGGGGCCTGAAGTCGTGTTTGCTGGTAAACTGGTAAACTGGAGCGTACACCGATCGACATCCTTGAAGCGCGAAGAGCAGGGCAAATTGTGTTATCATCAACTGTCACCACCATGCCTTCAGAAGCCACTACACGCAGCAAACATTCCAATAGCGAATGGGTACGAGAACCGATACTTAAGTTCCTTCCAGCAGCTGTTTCGTCTGCAAAAACGCTCGCCAGAGAAGGGGATACTGAATAGCATAATTTGGTTGACACGGTATGGTCAATGATTTATTCAGTAGAAAATAGGCGCATTATACTGAGCAGGGTGTGAAACTGGTAAAGGAAAGAAGCGACATGTACAGACAGCACAAGATCCCAAACCACACACAGTGCGCAACATTGCAAGACAAAAAGCAGGCGAGAAACATGAGTTGTCCAATCACAAATTGCTAACATTCTCTACTGCTAGATATACTGATAACGGACAATGTTTCTTGCAAGCAGCCAACAGGGATGAATATAAGAGGAAACTGAAGATAATGAAGAATACGAGTCCTGAAAGCAGCGTGCACCACAACGACCGTCCCTGAAGAGTCCCCTCCCGTGGGCACGCAAGCAAATGTCTCCGCTGGTTACTCCACCACCAGATCCGAAGCCATTTTCTGGAAGTGGTCTTTTTGACTTATGGCGGCAATATTTACTTACAAGTACGCGGTTCAAGTTTCTTGCTTGTTAGTGACATGGACATTCCGACCTGTATTTCTCACTAAGTCCGAGATAAAGTATTGGTTGACCACACCGCTTCTCGTCGAATTGACTATGTTCGTTTTCGGGCCTGGACAGCAGTTTAAAAGTGGTGCTCTTCAGGCACAATCTTCTTGGGTATATTTAAGCTAACCGGTATCAGTTTGTTTTGTTGGTTTTTCATCTGGCAAAATTGCCATCATCAGTAAAAAAAGAAAGCAGTCATGTACATGTACAAGTACATATTCATGTAAATAAAAAATATATTATAAAATAAAATAACAAACTTACCGGCAACTGATGAGCGACGAATCATCTCGGAGTCACTGTGTGTTGATCAGGGAGAGGTACTTTCTTGCAGGATTTCCGAGTGGAAGGTTCGATGGATTTCCCGTGTTCTCCGGATGATAGTTGTGAGACCATCAACTGTGGAGTCGAGTCGGTGGAGAAGGTGCCAGCTCCAACATTTCTAAGATGGGCATGACATGTGAGGATGTGCTTCTGTGTGTGGGGGTATTTCCCTCGGAAAATAAAAAAAACAGACAGCAGCAGACCTCTCATCATTTGGAAAGTTTGTAGATTTCCCGATAGGCATCCGTTTCCTTGGGCTTGGATTACCCATGCCTTTTACGTACTCCTAGTGTGATTCTCCAAACATCCTAACATTAGGCATACATGTATGCTGGCAATACAACGTGCTGCACTGGCCTAAAACAAGACCGACCAGTTTACACGAAAAACAGGGGGAAACACTTGTCGACGTCAAGCAAACACACATCCGGTTCTTCCAAACGAGTGGCAATGACATTGTCGCGTGACTACAGTGTAGTGGAGTGTGGTCTAGGACTCGCTCTCTTACTAAAATATCAACCGTCAAAAAGCAGAAAATCCGTAACGCGTTCATCCACAATTCCTTGTGAGGTCAGGGACGCGCTGGTGTTATAGCGAACCATTTTGAGAAGGCAAATTCCACGTTGTGTCCACTGTCAGATTGTCTACTAACCAGGTCAAGGAAGAGGCCACCCAGTATGGCTATCTACTGCCGTGTCATTTTCGTTCTTGTTATGGCGTACATTGCTGTGCAACTTGCGTCAGGTAGGCCTCTTGATTTCATCTTGCTGCCTGGCTAGATTGGCAGGTTGCATTTGTTATTTTTTCTTAATCCTCGACCAGTATGATCACTGTTGTATTGACATATACTAGGGGTGGGGCACTGGGAACTTGCCGTGGATGAACTAGTGTAAACCTGCCCCTGGGCACTGTCGGGATTCGCTCCATAATCGGTCGTTGACACTTGGCAAGAATAATAATGATGCACTTTCGTGTCCAGGTCAGCTGTGCGAATTAAAGACACGACTACTGCTATAGTATTCGCTTGTGGCTGTCAGCGAATGCTGAACAGAACGAAATGAAAAGATTCTTCGGATGTACTGTAGCATGGCTTTAGGCTGTCATTGAGGAGTCAGGTGTGCAGCCTGAGTGTACCCGCATTCTGTAAGGTATAATGGAATTGCTCTGCAACATGTAATCGGCCATCATCCCGCAGCACAGCTAAGGATTACGTCAATATGAAAACATTTACTACAGTCAACTTCGCGAATAACGACTGCGGATATAATGAAAACTCGCGACTAACGACTGCGGATATAACGAAAACTCGCGAATAACGACTGCGGATATAACGAAAACTCGCGAATAACGACTGCGGATATAACGAAAACTCGCGAATAACGACTGCGGATATAACGAAAACTCGCGAATAACGACTGCGGATATAACGAAAACTCGCGAATAGCGACTGCGGATATAACGAAAACTCGCGAATAAGGACTGCGGATATAACGAAAAGTCGCGAATAACGACTGCGGATATAACGAAAACTCGTGAATAACGACAGAATTCCCTTGCCCAGAGCAAAATCCCATCTACATGTATCTGTATACATATATTGAGACTTCGAGTATAAGCACAGTTCGCGAATAAGGACACTTTTCTGATGCCCTGATGTCCTTTCTCCAGTCCAGAAGCCTGAAGCTACTTGCTACTGGAAGATTCACCCAGGCCTAATAGTGTATCTCGCACTGCAAGCCGACACACGACACAACGAGGAAAACAAAATTAATGTAAAGCTGCCGACACTAGCAAAAATCCCACATTAGAAGACTATTAGTATCTGTAGTGGAACAGTACTTGTACTTTTCTTTACTACGTACAGGACCTGTTGAATGCGTATCATTCTGTTCTCAATACAACTCTGAGTTGTGGAAAAGATGTTGGCGGCCACAATTCTCAAAATGTGTTTGTTTCTACTATTTGGTAGGAAAGAACTACTTCATTCATTTATTTTCCACGAAACAGCATAATCATGACCGTGTACCAATTGTTAAATACTCAATATAGGTATACACAGAGGCAGTATTCTTAGGTTCTGCGAAAGTGCTCAACACCTGATTCAGGCAGAGCGGCGTAAAAACTGTCTGATGATGGGTTGAGTCATGAAACTCTGAGTCACAATGGCATTTGCCCACGGGTTTCATTGTGTGCCTTTGTGTCAGTGTAGGTATAGGAAGTTCATCACACTTACTGATTTATTGTGCTGTTGATGTAGTTATGATCATGTAAGCAAGAAGGGCAATCCCAACAGACAAGTCTATTAATTTTGCAGGGTACCCTTGGTAAGCGGGTGGAAAACCTTGATTGAAGAAATGGAAGCTGCATACTACGTCATACTCATGATAATGTGTGGCAAACGAGGGTTTTTAAAAATATGGTGTATCAGTAGTATAGTACTAGAGTGCTTTTAAAAGATTCAAAGATTCAATTCAAGGTAATGACACTGCTGAACTCTGAGTAATGCTTGGATTTGTGATCTGTTTAATTTTTGATTGTGCAGGACAGAGAATATACTGTACGCTTACTCCGTACCTTGGACGGGTTACGAATGGACGCAAAATCCTGAGGAAGGAATATAACCCCTCTCCACAAGATGGCCAGGCACGCGCCTGGTACCCGTTCACATTAACTGTATCATGTGAACACGGGTATCACGTGACTGGAAGAGGAGGAGCCGCCAGAATGGCTGTGATGCGGTGCATGGAAGATGGTACTTGGTTAGGAGACTCTGCTGGTTCTTTGCCAACATGTTCAGGTAAGTAAGGAGATGTATGGGTGTGAACTAAAGGCAGTACTGGTACATTAGTACAGGACTGCTCCATGAAACACGATTGCATCTCATAATATTATGAGCAGATTGAGTAGTTTCGCTCCTGCTCTTGCAGTAGTTGAGCACTCTCATGTGGGGTAGTGCCTTTGCTGTTTGCATTACGCAGAGCTCACTGACTTGTCAGTTTGAGCACTCTGGCAAGGTACGTTCGGGCCTGATTTAAATCTGGCTTTGAAAATGTTATTTTCATTGCTATCAGGTTCGGCCTCATTTTCTCTGTGCTGCGCTGAGGAGTTCACAAAGAACGAAACAGCATGCTGTCGGCAGATTGAGAAATATTATGACTTACCTATTTTTAGTTCGACACCTCAACAGCACAATGCATGGGTCCGACAGAAAACACCATAACTGGGGTTCACCAGAAAGAGAGACAGCCGAGAAAAAGGAAAGATGTTAATCCCATGTCCAGAAGAAATGTTGTTCACTACAACTAGCTGGCAAAGCATGCCTCATACATGTATGTATTATCAATAATTATTGCATTACTATTGTACATAAGCATACAGTTAATGTGGGGCAGGAAAGAGTACTGTACTCGCGCGATTAGAGCCCTATCTCGAATAGTGCCTCAGTCTCTGAGATCCTGTGAAAAAATGCCCTCTCTTGAATAGCCCCCGGGCTTGTAACCAAGCGCATGTGCAAGTGAGTTCTTTTGGTAATGTTCTTGCCTATATCATTGAACTGGTGGTTTCACGATCAAGATAGTTCTTGTTGCACTTTCTGTTGAGTCGTGATAGTTCACAGTAAATTGTAGGCTCCGTTTTTCTTTGCCTTCTGTTATGGTAAGGGTGGCGACTTAAAAAGAAATAATGCCCCATCTGTGATGGACATTGAAAAAATTGTTGGGCACTAATCGCGCGAGTACGGTATTCGTTGTTTTCGGTGAGGGATGGGTGGAGGTAGGGCGGGGAGGTTCGGGCTGGGGTGGCGTGCAGGGTAGATTGCAGAATAGGCTGGGCGGGCGTAGGGTTGGATGATGGGGTGTTCGATTACCTCACTAAATCGACCATCTCCTGACCTCCACGAAATCAGCCACTCTATAAAAGTAAAAAAAACCAATCAATTCAGAAATGCTACACCATATATGTACATGTATGTTCCACCTATATACACATATTGCACAGCGAAAACGACTTTTTGTTCCTTCTTTTTATGAGTGTATCCGCTTATTGTGCAACATTCGCTGCATGTGTTGAGACGTAGGCTGCGTTCACACGGAAACGAAAAGAAACGAAAGGAAACGGGCACGAAAACGCGCTGGCCTGGAGTCGTTTTCAAACGGTTACACGAGAACGGCAAATCGTTTTGAAACGTTTACACGAAAACGGAAAAAGGGCGATCAGGCTGGAGTTTAAGCACATGCTGGCTTGGCGCAAGGGCGGGAAGTAACACGTTAGTTGGAGATGGCCGGCGCAAGGGTTGGATATTTTCCGCGAAATATAGTCCAGCGCGGAATAGTTTCCATGGGCGCGCTCCGTTTCAAATCGTTTTCACTGTTTTCACAGTTTACGCCAGACCGAAAACGTTTTGAAAACTTTCAAAACACTTTGGATTGCGGTTCCAGTTCGTTCCGTTTAGGTATCATTTTCGAGCGTGGTCGTGTAAACGATAGTAGTAAACACAGAGATATCGTTCCTCTTCCGTCGTACAACGTTGCCGTGTAAACTCACATCGTTGTTTTAGTGATAATCTTTTATTTAAAGGATCTCCCAGAGGCTATGGCCTGTCGAGGGGATCTCCTGATGCAAATCATGCAATAGAAATAAACAGTGAGGAAAACTACATGTATTACAGAATTTACAGTACCTGCTACATATTGTTGTCAATCGTTGTCGTATAAACGCAGCCTGAGGTTCGATGCTAATAATTATATTATAACCTCGATCTCCTACCTCGCAGCTTGCAATTCCAATTCACAAAGTACATGTAGCTTGATAAAGTGCCATTCAAAAAAGCCGTTGTAGCTAGGTAAACAAATTAAAATAAAATTTAAAATAGTAAAGGTAAAGTGTACTCCCTGATCTATAGGAATCGCACGACAGCAGCTAACACTCGGACACTGCAGTAGGCCCTACTAACGAAGATACAAGTTAGCAATAGAACTATACTAAAATACTTCTAGGATTGGCGGATAGCCATGAAACTCCGAGTTACAACTTACTTCAGCCTAGTTCTATTGCTAACGCGTTTTTGGCAATGCCCTCGCGGCATTGAGCTCTTTTTGCAGGGATTTATCAACATAGCTTGCACTAACAATTCTGAATGTATTCAGAGCATCGATTGAGATCAAGGAGAACTATCGTACCTATCAGCAATGTCAGTTGCGCTTCACGGCAAGCATGGAGGATAACGGCGGAACTTAACGCCATATTGGTCCATCTGTTCATGTCTGTCTTTCTGTTCTACCAGCCAACACGTGTCCGTCGCTACCACCAATAAGCAATGTGATATCGGGTGCAATCAGCGTAGGCGCTCGCACCGAGTATCATTTCAACGGTTCAACGCTGCACATCACAGCCGCCGGATATGGAGACATTGTCGAGTTTCGTTGCCAGGACAAACCGTTCCCTGCAGGCTATGTACCTAGAGATGGCTTGAGAGTCGACTGCCTGGAGAATGGCACGTGGAGTTCGCACAGTCCCAGCTGCAACGGCGGTGAGATACTTTGCAGAATAGTTCAGGAGAAATTTGACTCAAAAAACTTTATTGAAAATCAATGATAACGTTATTCGAAAAGAGGAATAGAATAATCCAAAGTCGACGAATGCTCATAGGCTATTGTTGGTGAATCGTAGTCACTACTATCAAAGCAGGTCATTATTTTTCCAGAACACAACTGAAAAACCGGCTAAAATTCCAGATAATCCCTACTTTTAAAGTAGGTCGATATTAACCGGGAGGCGTGTCTACAAAGAATGTAGACGGCACTCATCCAGGAATGATAAAGCCCTGGATCGCCTACGCGAATATGAGGCCTGGCAACCGCGGAAACAGGTGACAATCCACCTGACCAGAACTAAAGAGGTATTGCATCTTTAATGATTCATGACCAATGAATATTGCAAGCCCGACAGAATGATGCATGACAATCATGCAGCTACATGTAAATTCTTTCAGGCTCGCAGACATTCCCAGAGGCCATTGGTACTGAAGACCAAACGTGTGAATGCACCTCTCTGAACATTCACTACACCTTCACTACAGTTCAGGAGAAATGAGTTGACAACGCACACCAACTTCCATCTATAATTATTTACATTCTAGTCGGAGACAATATATATCAGTTAATGATAAACACACAACCAATCCACAGCCAACGGACACCGATTCGTTTTGACAGAACCATTTAAATCCAGAATTGATCAGTGCCTACTTCTGGTAGATGGTAGAGAATAACAGAAGTAGCTCATGGTTGCAGAAAAGAAAGTTACTACAGGTGTGATAAAGGCAGTAGCAAGGTGGGAGGCCGCAAAATAGTGCAAGGAACAGAAAGTGACCAAGCGAAACACACACACACAGCACACTAGTCTAAATTCACACAATGACACTGCGAAGAGGTGCAATGTGCGACTTGAACAGATACAGCGGAGCAATGGTCTACTCACTCCTTTCACTGCGTTAATTTATTTTTTACCTCCACTGAAACCTGTTCAAAGAATGGTAATACAGTACTCCTTTTCCATGGCAACGCTACACTATATTAAAATATTGTTAGTTGATCACAAGGGTCCCGCGATCAGTGTCCCTAGGCGCATACACTACTAGTTATTGTGTGTGCCATTGGAGCTTGTGTCGGGTCATGCAATAACACTGTGTTTGGCTTTCATTCGGATGTTTGCACGTAAGAACCACCTACTACTCCGTCACCTCCTAGCTGTCCTGTTCAAGCATTCATGCTGGCTTTCACTCCGTCGTCACACCGTCGGAGTCGATTACACTTGACGGACCAAGCAGCTCCGCTGAGCAGCCCAGACGTATCATCACGGCCAGGTTCTGCCAAGCCATTCTCCAACATCACGTTTACATGCGATGTTGGGTATCACGTGACTGGGCAGGGAAAGGATACGTACGTAGCAGTATCTACATGCAATGAGAGTGGAAGTTGGTCACCTGACTGGACAGCCTCTCTGCCAAACTGTACTGGTAAGGTTCTCTCTAGTTTAGATGCCTCGCATTAAATATTGTTTTTCAGCCCGTTGCTCAGCCTCTACGTACCTTCCCTTCAAATTGGTCAGAAATTTCAGGACTATGCAGTTAAGCCATAGGCCAAGCGCTCACCTGGAGTATTAGCACTGTTGGATACTTTGCACCTCAAATCAAACTGACAATGGCTGTGTATGAATGCTGTTAGGTACATTTCTAGGAGGTTTCGATCTAAAGTAAATGTCAGGTTTGGGAAATTATTTGTACTCCTGGTAAGGTGATGCCTAGGTATCCTACATTTCTGACGCTTTATCCTCAGGTTTAATTGGTGGATTCCTATTCATTTAAAAATAACCGACGAGGAGACAACAGTCGTAAAATAGCAATGAAAAATATCAATTGTGCACTCATAACCATGTATAAACAATTAAAATGAAACAATTCCAGAACTTTTCGTGTGACCATCATCAGTGGAACATCGTCACATAGTAAGAATCACTAAAACAACCAGTTATATAGCTAGAGTAATATGAAAAGAAGCGTGAGAAAGCAGCACAGCTAGCGGTTATGCATAACGCGTGTAGTGTTAACCTTTGCAGTGTATCTGAGAATGGTAGCAGTAGATGAATGTCACACGAAAACACGAAAACGTTCTGGAATTGTTTCATTTTAATTGTTTATACATGGTTATGAGTGCACAATCCGCGATATTCATGTTAAAACAAAATGGCGTCACGATTTATTGAAAGTGGTATAGTTGGCTGTACGAGTGTTCAAATCCATTTGAACTTCATACTGTTCGTCTTCTTTTTGACATGCTCTCTTTCCATCGTCCTAGCTTTTGTTTGTTGAGAGCTGTTTTGGCTTTCTCCTATACCTCTGGGGGATGCCAAGTGATTGTTTTGAGAGGCTGGTGATGGCTGTGAGCGAGAGTTTGCCGATCGGCGTCGTCCTCGCTATAGCGATGAAAATACTAGTTACTGCGCACCTGGCAGATATCACAACACGTCGGAGCGTCCAGGAGCAAAGGAATCTTGGGTTTTCACTGGAATCTAGTTCCTCCAGCATCGTGTAGCCCACCGTCGGTGAATGGCGGTTCAGAAAGGTCGAACCTGGTCTTCTGCAGCATCTCGCAGTCCTGTGGGGCACACTGAATACGCCTGTCATGTATTCTACAAATAAAAATAACGAAGTAGTGGACTTTACAGTGATGAGTCTATCCTGTATGCTGCAAAAGACGCAGGAAATGTGACTGGTGTCCGTACACTGGACGCCAATATCATCCCAGTCTTCTCCTGCAGGATCTGTTTGACATTGACATGCCAGTATGCAGTGGGTCGACATTGGGCTGGTTTGGCAGCTATCTGCCTGGTTGGATGTAGCAGGTTTGCATTGGCGCGTCGTCCAGTCCGACATTTTCTTGTAACTGTGGAGTACCGGCAGGGTTTGAGAGGTTGCTCGTGCTGTGAACACATCTCTACTGCCTGTCTCGTCCTGGAAGTGCCGTCTCGCCGCTTCCTTGCTCTACAGTCACGCCGTTATTTCGCTTTGTTTCGTGGTGCAGCTCAAAACCTGCCCAAACAACTGTGAGCTCGCAACATGGTATGGACAAATTGCACCACTCATGCTGGTTAACTAAAACCGGGATAGTCGAGTAAGCGAGTTCACTCCCCGGGCCATGGCAAGATCTACTCAGCGCGGGCTATTCCAACCTCCAAGTGCATAGTCACCGATCGATCCATGCGATGGTGGTTGACCTACAAAGAGCCAAGGTCTACGAGTACTACTATTGGATGCTGTCTACAAGCAGTCAACAAAATCAAAGTACCTCAGTATGCCTCAGAATAGGGCATGTGCATCTATCAGGCGCGTGCTCGGCGATGGGCACGGGGGCACGTGCACCCCCCAAATTCAAGAAAGGTTGCAAACAAATTGCAGAAAATGGCCGGGGGGGGGCTCCCCTCGGCTCCTGTGCACCCCCCTAGTTGGGGGGCCGAGCACGCCCCTGTCTATAGCATGACACAACAGGGGTTCTGGCGGCACCTGTCAAACAAGCAGTAGCGACTAGTGCCAGCTACCTATTGGAGGCTAGCCGCTACAGTATGTCACTGGAGATAATTATTATGTTCACTGTTTAGACCTTTGCTCCTGGACGCTCCGACGTGTTTTGATATCTGCCAGGTGCGCAGTAACTAGTATTTTCATCACTATAGCGAGGACGACGCCGATCGGCAAACTCTCGCTCACAGCCATCACCAGCCTCTCAAAACCATCACTTGGCATCCCCCAGAGGTATAGGAGAAAGCCAAAACAGCTCTCAACAAACAAAAGCTAAGGACGATGGAAAGAGAGCATGTCAAAAAGAAGACGAACAGTATGAAGTTCAAATGGGTTTGAACACTTGTACCACCAACTATACCACTTTCAATAAATCGTGACGCCATTTTGTTTTAACCCGCATACGGTCCATTGATATGTTTCATTGCTATCCTATTCACTAATTGGTAATATATTTTGTTTCTTTAGTTTTTGTGGAACAACATACAAGACATGAAGTGATATAGCATAATGTCTTCCTCGTCCCACTGGTGGTCTCACATCAACCCATTATGCCCCTGCTCGTCAAATCCCAGCTCCAAAAGTGCAACCAAGAACCGATGTGACATGATTTTACATCATCAAGTATAGAGCTATTATGCTGGTTGCCCGTGCATCATCATTACCTCACTAAAACGTGCGTCATAATTACGCAATGCATCATCCCCCAGATGGTTGCATTCCCTGTGACACTGGTCAGGATGAGTGATAAAGAATCCATATGATTCCACATGTCATTTTCTGGCCTTCTGTTCCTGCAGCAATAAGATGTCCCGCTCTACCTCCCATATACAACGTTCAATCGGGTAACATCACTATACGCAGCAACACCGATCACTCCTTCAAAGGCTCAACGCTGCATATCACAGGGGGTAGGTATCTGGAAATCGTCAGTTTTCACTGCAAGAGTGAGCCTTTCCCTGAGGACTACAACCCAAGAACTGGCTTGTCGGTAGAGTGCGGGGGGAACGGCACATGGTCATCCCAGAATATGAGCTGCATTGGAGGTAAGGATGTGTACCCCCCCCCCCCCCGCACACACAAACGCACACACATACTATGGATCTCCTCCAAAAAGCATCCCACACGTACATGTACATAGCAGCGCGCAGAGAAAGGATGCAAGAAAGGAACAACACCATCTTAACCATAGCATGTCGTTGTCAAAAATTAATATTCCGTCTACGATCTATTAGTACATGTACTTGGTTTTTGGTCGGTGGTGCACACACAGAAACAGCGTTCCGAACAATCGTTATTCGAACATGATACGGGTGATGCGATCTGCTATTGATGATGGAAAATTGTTGGACAAGTACACAAAACACAGAAACGAGAGGAATTTCCCATTAGGCCTTTCCCCACCGTTACTCTTCGATGTCGCTACCTTGGTGATACGCGCGGCAGGAAACCAGTTCTTTTGATCAAATCACTGACAAAATGGGATGCCCAACGGCTCAACTTCAAAGATTTCCGAACATGCTCATTTTCTCTATTACTTCAGGCACAGGTGAAACAATGGCATGACGTGTAGACCAATTGTCTCCCCAGGAAGCCCTGAAGCATTCACCGTACCACACTGTCTGTTGATGATGCTGCCCTTTCATTCTCATTGGCGCACAGATCCTCTGCCCACGCAGCCGATTCCAGGATGCCCTTTAAAAGCATTCATGCCGAATGGTGTAGGCCACGGTCGACTACACGTGACGAGAGCAGCAGCTCCGCTAAACAGTCCAGGCGTATCATCGCCACTAGATTCTGCCACTCCATTCTCCAACATCACATTGACATGTGACGATGGTTATCACGTGACTGGGCAGGGAAAGGATACTTACGTGGCAGTATCTACATGCAATGAGAGTGGAAGATGGTCACGTGACTGGACAGCCTCGCTGCCAACCTGTACTGGTAAGGGTTCTCGTAACAGGTTATTCAGAATCAGCTCTGCTAGATTTATTTTTCAAGACCCCTATTCGCCGGATTCATGCCCTCTATTGTCACGGACATGGAAATCCAGTCGATTGACCGAGGCTGGCGCCCTCAGCGCGTACAGAACGTTGCATACAGTGTGCGCAGTCATGTTGAGGCCGAAGCGACCAGCGGCGTAGCGTGTACTGCTTACCCACGGCTGCATGGCCAGCGTCCTAGGGCCACCAGACGTGCGACCGGATTTCCATGTCCGCGATAGTGCCTCCAGCCGTATCCGTACCACATTCGCTATTCCTGCTCATGGATGTGGTTGAATGTTAGTCTTGGAAAAATTGTTTACCAACCAATTAGCATGATAACAGATGACCAGTTGGCTTCTGTTCCGAAGTGGCGATCATCACTGTCTTTACTTCTTCGATCTTTGTCGTATCTTCGCTCGTAGAGAAGGAAGTGGGCAAGCAACGAGACTCGAACCTCACTTCCCTAAAAATGGTAAGAATTCCAGCAATTAGCCAGTATTAGAGCACCATCTCTCCCACTCTCCTCTTTCTCTTCTTTCCCTCTTCTCTCTCCCTCTGTCTCTCTCTATATAATTATATACTTCAAAGTATATTATCTCTCCTCTCTCTGTATCTCTTTCTCCCTCCCTCCCTCTCTCCCTCCCTCCCTCTCTCCCTCTCTCCCTCCCTCCCTCTCTCCCTCCCTCTCTCTCTCTCTCTCTCTCTCTCTCTCTCTCTCTTTCTCCTCTCTCTCTCTCTCTCTCTCTTTCTCCTTTCTCTCTCTCTCTCTCTCTCTCTCTCTCTCTCTCTCTCGCTCTCTATCTCTATCTCTATCTCTATCTCTCCCTCTATCTATCTATCACTGTCTGCCTCTCTCTCTCTCTTTCAGTCTCTCTCTCTCTCCCTCTCTCCCTATCTCTCTCTATCTCTTTATCTCTCACTCCCCTGAAAAACACGTAGACGATGTTTGGTGCGATACAACATATTGACAAACAACTTACATGCGATGTTACAATCCCACTTCAGGCATGCTACAATCTGATCCAAAAATCTATACAAACTGTGCAACTCCAGTAGGTCTAGGTTCTTTGCTGCAAGCAGTTCTCCTTTCCCAGGCTAGGGTCGAACATGCCACACAAGCCAAACATCTTTCTGTAGCTGTGAGTTTCATGTTCAAAAAACCTATTCTGGATTTTATTGTTGATACACCAACATTTCGAACAAGTAGCGTGGTGATGTCTGCGGCCTTCATTCTATACATAGCAAATGCTGTCAATATACGCCTCTACTCTTATACTACTACCAGAATGTTCCTTTTCTTCAACATTTCCTTGTAGGCGATTGACAGTGCAGTGAGTCCAGATGAAGTCCGAAGTTTTGCTACAAAGCTGCAGCAGTTTTCTGCCACATCGCCAGGTGACATGCTGAGTGATAACGGCGCCTCACTCCTCGCGGCTCTGGTGAATAAATCCATCCAGGCTCAGATTAAGTCCGCCAGCAATGGATTAGGATCGGAGTTTGTAAACACGGTGAGTGGGACAACACTTCCTTTGGAGAAAGGATGGGTGTCTGTATCTTATTCGACGGCGGATAACAGCAACTGTGGAAATTTATGTACAAATGCTGGTCTATATCTGCACAGCACAATGGGTCAAATTTGCTAGCTCTCCAGTCAGTGGATCTAGCAGTTACCGCCTGAAGTACAGTCAACTTTGCGTGTAACGACACTCGGCGGGGCATCAGAAAAATCAGTAGTTAAGATTAACATTACACGTGTAATGCGGTGAAGCCACCATCGATAATATGGGGCGCAGAGGCCAATTGGCCTTATGACTCCCCAAAAAAAAAAAAAAAATACATTACACGTGTAATGTTAATCTTAATTTTAATTTCAAATAATCGCAGTGAAGAGACCGTTTTTGGAGTTGAGAAGTGAAGTTGGCTAAATGTGTAAGTGGCTGCGTTGGAGTTTGTGGACAATTAAAAAGTGTTTCTGTTTACTGTCCGTTCTATTACATCAACTTCTGCAAGGTCACACGCAATGTCGCAAC